AAATATTCCTGAATTCATTCAGACTTGCACATGCCAGCAAAACCTAGCAAATCCATACTGATCCTGTGTTAAACCTTTTCCTCCAAAAAGTGTTATCATATAAATCATTGTCCCTTAATCAGTCTTTTTCGAAGTATTCTGAGCAGTTCTGCAAGAGTCTTAAATTAAATCCCTCACCTTGACTCCATATAAATGTAATACTGTCAATAAAGGAGATATAAATAGATAGGGGTGTAACCATTCATAATCTACCTGAATATTTTAAAAGGGTCTTTTGGGCAATGAGGCAAGGAAAGAAAAGAAGAGGGAGAGACTTGATCAGTCATCTGAGTTCTGCCTCTACAATCAGAAGTGCGCTAATTGAAAAGGTGTGGAGTCATCTACCACAGAAAAAGGATGGGTCTTATCAGATTTTTTATAATAATTTACCACAGAATTATAAAATCTACTTCCGTCTCACATATGTCTCTCCTCTCCCATTTGGACAATGATTGAGCAAGAGCTGCTTGTTGGCTGTCAGGGAGAAGCCCTGAGAAATGTTAAAGAGACCTTTTCAATGTCTGACCCATTCAGTTTGTGAAAGTTAATGTTTTTTAATGAAGATGCAAACTGAAAACTGAACTATACAACTTGATAACAAGAGAGAGGGTTGAAAACAAAGAGGAGAGTGACAACATTAAAGCTGAAAAGTCATTTTTTACTGTGAGTAGCTCCTGCTTTGGGGTACAAATAGCCCGAAAGAGAAATATATAGCATGTCAAAGGTTTAAAGAAAGATTGTGGAGTGTTTAAGGTGGATTGGTGGACATATTTTAAAGGTGCTTACTCTGAGACTTCATCACATGTCCACCTTTCCTTGAGCTTTTTCTATTTTCAGTGTGAGGCTAATGAATTGGGATGTGGAACAGGTTTCTCTGCAGGCTTACAGTGAGAAATGATAAGAGATTATTTTAGAATGAAGATCAATGACAAAGTCCAAACGGTATGAGGAGAAGCGGCAGTGGGGGGAGGAGGAGGAACAGGAGAAACATGTGCCCTAATGTAAGATGAGTGTAATGTGCAACCTAAGGCCAAAGGCAAGAGCTTCATCTCACCAATTCTCTTTACAGGAGTGGAAATTACTCGGTGCCATACATAGCTGATTTATACAAATTAATGACCTGGGTTATTAATAGCCAGAGATGCATATATTCAACACTATGAGTAAAGGTAGCTTTAATTATGCATCCCTTACAAAACCTGTTTGACTTCAACACCTGGCATGTAGGTGCATTTTCAAAATTAATCCAGTTCCTGAAAAATGAGAGTTCATTTAGCAATTGTGCTTCCTTCTCCTTTTTGGATCACCATTTGCTTCTAATATATCTGTTTTAACTGTGACAATCAATTAAGAACATGTATTCAAACAGATAATAGAAAAGGAGTCAGACATTATTTATTTTTATGGCTTGATTTAGCTGTGTTGTCAGCCAAAGTACTTGTAAAATTGTCTTTTCTTTCCTATTGTTTATAGTGCAGGTGTTCTTTGACTTTGCTGTGAATATTTACACAAATACTGTTCACATTTTCACTGGACACGATGGGGCCACCGTATGAGCGAAAGATGCTGCCCTGCCCCTTCTGTTCTCCGAGGGGACTGGTGCACTGACAATAGTGTCAGCTATCCCAGGGGGGGCGCCTCCACCTCCGAGTGATTTGTGGTCGGGGAAGACTGATGAACTGCTATTGCCACCCTGTTTCTTTGCAAGATCAATTCTACATGTAGGAGGGTGCTTTATGAATGATGGAGACCTCCTCAAGTCATCCATACAACTGCCCAAAGACATGGCCCCGGCCCCCATAGCACCTACAAGGCAGGAATAAAGCAATCACTCTTCTCAACAGGGCAATGCATTACGCACCCACACCCACACATGAACATGCCCACATGAATACACAGATAAGCCAGCAGGCACACAGACAAACTCGTGTTTCTGTTTGCAGGGAATAAATGGAAACCTTATGCAGTCGTTCTGCTGCATTTTAAGTTTTATTCAGAAGTATTTTCAAGAATAGCAGGAAAACTTTGCCACATAATGGAAGACTAGTCCAGAGTTTGGATAAAGTGGAGTTAAACAGGACTCTTCATGAGAGCACAACCATCAGTTTGCACTCTGATGCTGCACTACGCTGGTTTTCTGGGCAGGTCCATGACTGGGAGCATGCCAGTAAGAGCGATTTGATAGTATTGAGGGATATCACTCGCATTACACATTTGAAGACTGAATAGCATCATGAAGAGGAGCAGCATACATAGATGTCATGAGTCTTGCCTCCTGCAGAGAGGTTGAAAGTGAAAAGTAGAGCGCAATGAATACTTGAGTGTTCTGGAGGCTATGAAATTGAAAGGCCTCTCTCTTTTTTGCCAGAAGAATTCAATAGAAAAATAGAAGCAGCTCTTGCTTTTTTAATCGCAACTTTGAGATTGATTGGGCGAACTTGTGTGCAAATCAGTGCGGGCTTGACAGACGTTCCTCTTTTATGATAATTCTGGTGTCAAGAACAAGAAAATGGGAATAATGCAGCAAGGCTACCTGGTGTATGTGTAGGAAAAGAATGTGATTCTTTTCTCTTTTTTTTAATATGGACAGCTCCTATATCAAAATGAGAAATCTTAAAACAAATGAGTAATCCAGTCTGTAGGAACTGTGTGCTTTCACTTTTCCTGTAATGTAAAATTCCATGATCTATTTACACACTTTCATCATTATAATATTATAGCAATAACTGGAAAAGCACTAAAAGCTTCCTAAATATATTTTTTATTTCACTAATGAAACAGTATGTATAATGTCTTGTTTTGCATGACGTGTTAAACACCAGATTGCAGTCTCTGGATATCAGGGTTTTAACGCACACAGCACAGCTGAGATAACTTCCATTTACAGTGTAAGCCTGGGAGAGCTACAGTGTAGAGGCCATATACTATTTATGGGTTAATCGATACAGTAGCTGGATGACACCATGTCCCTGCTACATTCTGTCATGATGATGGCTCACTAATTTTGGAATGGCTGCTTTCTCCTCCTGCCTTCAGAAGACTGCAAGATGGTTTAATTTGGCTGTAAAAATGCCAATCACCGGGTTACTTCTTGTTCCTGGGGGAGGTCATGATGGGGCCAAGTCCATAGGAGGAAATATATTCACATAGTTCTCCCAGAGACACTGCTAACCCCTGACATTCCATTTGGGTTGTAATTTCATGTTGTTAAAGTGACAGGGACCCAGCCTCTGTGCTCTTACAGACACAGAAGCAGGGGGAGTCCTGATCAGAGAGGCCTTTAATTCTTCTCTGAGTGAGGATGTGTGTGTGTGTGCGTGTGTGTGTGTGTGAGAGAGAGAGAGAGAGGGAGAGAGAGAGAGAGACAGACAGAGAAAGAGGGTTACTTTATGTCACCATTTTTGAGCGTGTAGCCTTTGAGATGTTGGGGAGAGTAAACAGATCCTTCAGTCTGAGGCTGAGCACTCTCTACTGCATTTGTGTGTGTGTGTGTGTGTGTGTGTGTGACATAGAGCGCCCACGCACAGCATGTTTTGGTATTGGTAGGAGTCTTTTTCGCTGGCAGGGGTCAGCAAACATCAGAGGCAGAGTGGGGAGACCCAGGACCACCCCCCTCTGCAGAGATACTGCTGGCTTGAGACAAAAAAAAGAGACAAGTGGTGAAAAGAACTCATTACCGCTCCTTCCTCGACCTGGCTTTGAGCTCTACCTGATGTGGAAATATGGGTGAAGTGATGCTTTTACTGCAAAGCTAACATTTAACGACTCACATTAAATTAGTGAGGACAAGTCATCGGGCACATTTCCATTTTGGGGCAGTGCAACAGGAACGAATTTTTGCACCTGTTATATACTATATACTCCAGGATAAGAGATCTTGGTTTTTACCAGTAAATACAAAAATGACTTAAAATCACTGCCTGCTGGTTTTGTACTCCCTATTATATGCAGCAGTTTCAACTGATTGTATTTAGATAACCTTTTTCAACTATACATTTCATCAAACCTATTTATATTACTGTTCATACTACATATATAATTAATTAATCAGACTCATATTGCTCATAGCCATATGGTAGATCATATCTTTGTACTGTACATTTTGCTTTGTTTATTTAGTATACATCTCTTCCCACAACTCCTTTGGTTTTTTTTTTAAATATAAAAAATATTAATCTATATAAACTTTCTGTAATGACAGTGAAATGAAAAGCATATTTCATCTAATATATCTAAAAATATTATAGCAAAATCATGTATCACCTATTTTTTATTATCAAAAGCTATACATTTCTAACATCTTAAGTAAAATAAATCCATAAGAAATAACCGACCTACTATACTGCAGCTTTAGGGTTTTCATCACAAAACAAGTGAACTCTGAATTATGTACCTGAACAAAAGCTTTGAAAATTTTGCAGAATTTAAAAATATTATTAGTGGCTAAGTGTGTTTTGCATATTACAAAAAAGCAGTGTAACACACGTGTGTTGTTACTACATAAGTTTAATCTCTCGAACAACAACAACAACAACAACAACAACAACAATAATAATAATAATAATCATAATAATAATAATACAGCAAATATACACATTTCCATAGAAATATTACCATGGCAGATTAAAACTACAATGTGCTAAAGGTTAGTTAACTTCATTGATGATGAATCCAGTTGACACATATCTGCTGTCACTATTGGAGTATTTGTGGTTTTGCGCCTGGTAATGATCAGGCCACTGTGTGTAATAATCAACTAATAGCCAGTGAGCTGTGACTCACATGAAGAGCAGAGGTGGGAGGACACTCGGTGTGTGGTGTCTGCCCTTCTCTGAGGAGTAAAGAGTTAACGGAGCGGTGGGTTTGCCCATTCCTCCCGCTGTGAGTGACGCGATCATCTCTCTTATCCCTCAACTTTGCCTGTTGCCAGACCAGGCAGCCGAGGTGGACGCTGGGCTGACATTCTTAACACGATCACACATTTCAAGAAAAAGATTTTCTCGCCACCTCGTTTATTTATTTTGCCGCTGACTTTTCCCCGCAGGCTCCTAATCTGTGACGATGATTTTTAGTTTTTCTTCCCATCGGACTCCCCGATGTTGTGCAGTGTACAACACGAAGGCGTGAATCTTTTTTGAGTAGAGGTGGATCTTCCCGGATACGGCGAGGGAGTATATTAAATAAAAAAGAAGAGTTTCACGGAAATTCCAACAAACAGAAATGCCACGAAGGAAACAAGAAGCGCCCAAGCGCGCAGCAGGTATGTGGATCCAACTATAATGTGCGTAAAAATAAGGTTTACTATTATAAAGCGGTGGGTGTTACCTTTGTTTTGTAAAGCTCACTTTACAGTCACTGCATTTCCGTTTCCACTTGTATGTGCTCACGATGCGCTTTGTCACTCTTGGCTACTCTTGTGAGACCTCATAGAAACTGTTACCTTTTAAAAGCGGATGTACAGTTTGTGTAGAACAATCTGCGATTCTGCGTTTTTGCTTTCCACGCTGCGCAGTTGCTGTAGTCCCAGTGAATGAGTTGCCTGTTGTAAACTTTCGCTTTCTATTGTTCCTAACTTAAATCCGTGATAGTTTAGCGATCCTAACTGCGATCCACATTTTATCTATAAGGATAAACCTTCTGGAAATAAGCACTGCGTTCTTGATGTTGAGTCCCGGAGGAGTCCCACCTAAGAGGTTTATGCGCATTTGATCCGAGAGCATAACTTCTTTGCACAAGCGAAAAAAGCTCTGCCTCTGAGCTTTTTTATTTTCTTAGGATAAGATAAACAATTTGTGAACAGACAATGGGGTTTCTTGGGGTGGAAGGAGCCATAATCGACAGTTGCCATGTCTGATTTGACGGTTGATTGATTGGCTGTCATGCGACTCTGATCCTATCCTTCCCGATTTGCATCAGAAAATCACTTCCACTGTGTGCTGCAGACACCTGACGTCACATTCAAACCACTTTGAAAGGACCGGTGCCCGGTGTTCTTTTTCCCCCCCCCCCCCCCCTTTCACACACACACAGACACACACACACACACACTCCTCTCACAATCTGATGGTCAAGTAACTCAAAAAAGTGAAAGAAGAGGGGACAAAGTGGTTTCACAGTGAGCTATCACACACACAAACAGACACACACTTCCAGCAGAGAACATCACACTCCCATGTGCACATGCTCACTTGTTCACTTTGGATACAAACATACAGTCTCACACAGTTAATATCTCACAATAGCCAGACGAGGACAAGTAAAAAACATAGCCTCTAACACACACACACACACACAGTAGAGGAGGCGGGAGGAGTGGGTTAGGGGTTGTAAAAGGAGCCGTGTGCTATGTAATGGAGGGGAGGAATGGGTTTGCTCTGTCAGACCGGGCCGTCACAACGGCTTTGTTTCATGTTTGATTTAATTGTCTCTCCCCTGACAGGCCCATTCATCAATGGCTTTAATGGTCAATCAGAGACAGGCTGAGTGAGTGCTCCCATTCTGTTTAGCCATAAGCTGGCCTGGGCTTTTATTTCATCAAAATGCCCCAGCCTAATGTACATGCTCACTGGCTCAGAGTGGCCGCGGGGAGCACATAAAGAATGACTGAAAGCTTTCTGATTTCAGATCAGTGAGAAGGATAGGTTTTTTTCATCTCCTCCTCTCTTCTCGCTCCTCTCTCCTCCCTGCTACACTGCTGTTTCTCTGTTGACGAAAGGGAATAAAAGGCTGTAATATAGATCGTTTTGTGTTTTTAGAAAACAACTTTTTCTCCCTGAAAACCACGCTTCTTTGTTCATTCATTCATCTATTCATTTCTTCATTTTTTCATGCTCCCCTTCCACCCCTGTCAGTCAGCCTGTGCAGCTGCAAGTTATAAAGTTGTCAACTGTTCAGTGGCACACAAAGGGTGATGATGAATTGATTGCAGCACAGAGCATGGTGATAGAGTGAGCAAAGAAAAGGATGACAGATGATGGGCCTTGATTAGGGACTTAGGGGGAGAGTCAGCCCACTGCAACCTTGAGACTTGCATGAAAAATCTACCACCACCGCTGCCCCCCCTCCATATATATATATACACACACACACACACCCGCCCGTTCTGCTCTCTCATTGTCTCTCAAACACACACTCTCTCAGCTTCACCCTCTCTTTCTTCCCTTCCTCCTTCTGTTTCTCTCTCCACAGTAGAAACTTGTTTTGCTTGCTTCATTAGCGTTGGTCCAATTAACCGTGAGGCTGATGGAGTCCTGACAGGCCCTGTGATTGGAGATGACAAGCTCAGGGTGCCCAGCCCAATGAGCTTTGCCACCACTTTGATGTAATCAACTTGATATTACACAGAGCCGCTCGCCTTTGGTTGTGCTGTAACTCAATTTTCCGCTGCAGGTGACAAATGAGCCTGCGTACCTGGGTCAGGTCTGAGTGCTCTTAACAACCAAGGGCAGCTGGCCATGTAAACAGCCAAGCAACCATGAGTAAGAGACTCTCCCAGCTGTGGAAACACAAACCTCCTTCCTTTGTAGCTGGCAATTAGCTTCGCCGTGAGCCTAGGCCTTGAAGCTGTTGAAACGGCCACAGGAAGTTGAAATACTTTACCAACTTAACAGAAAGTCGACATTGGCTTTACAGCATGTGGGCACAAAGACAATGCTGTTTCAATGGAGGGTCTAAGCTGCACAGTATATCTACAGAATGCTGTCGGTGTATTTACAGTATCTGGAGTGTTGCTTGTGTCAGTGCACTGTCAGGCCACAGCAGAGAAAGCTGCTCTCCCCTTTTCTCTGTCATAACTTGTGCTCTGGGTGTATATAAGAGAAAGTCCGGCACAAAAAGGAAGGGTGTGGGGGGGGGGTCTGATTTGGACCAGGCTCCACAGTAACAGATTCTTCTTTTTTGCAGGGTCAGGACTATAGGTGCCAGAATGGCAGCCATCACTCATGTCTCTCTGTGAGTGTGTGCACACTCAAACCAATGGGCAAGCAATCATTTTGGGGGGGGTTTGAATCCACGTGCACGGTTTGGCTTGTGATAGTGATGAAGAGCCGTGTAACTGGAGACCCTCTGCTGGGGTCTGGCCATAATTCTTTGAAACCTGCAGGCCTTTTACATCACCCAGATTCTCCTTATCTTTCCCTCTCCCTGTCTTTGCACATTAGCTATGTACATAGCATATATAAGACATCTTACATAAACGCGGCGCTGATGCAAATAATGATGCAGGTATTTATAGCACACATTCACGCACATGCACACATGTTGTGACTAAGTGAAATGACGTAAGCTGTTTTTCTATCTGTCTTGCTTCCCGTTGTTTATGTGTGAAAAGCATGTCCTTACGGAAGCAGCAGGGGAGCAGGCATTGGGACTTAACTGTTCAACCGACACCCGGACTGACAGCGTTGGTGAGCTTTAACAGTAACACGCCTCCGCTGGTGTTGTTTGCAGGTGTGAGCGCCGCAAATGTTTTGGCCTTGCAGGCCCTGTTGCTAATGAAAGTCCTGTGGCTGGATTCCGGTGAGGTTGAGTCACGTCTGTGATCTATGTGTCTGATAAGTGCATACCTAATGAGGCTGTGAGCACCAGTGCAAGGAGGAGGAGGGAAGCTGACAGAGTGTTTCCCACAGGTATTGACAGATGCCTTTTTGTTTTTGCCATCAGCCCTGACTCCATAAATCCTGCCTGTGTAATGATAACAGTGCCACCCTGCCAGCAAGTGAGTGAAAGAGAGAGTGTATGAGAAGGGGGGTGCTGGTGGTGAGGACGATGAGGAGAGGAAGAGTGTGGGCGGCGAAATGGGCCTTCTCTCCTTTTAACACACACTTGGCAGATGTCAAGCGATAGGGTTGGGCTCCAGGAGAGAAAGAGGAGTGTAAGTGCTGTAGTAGTGTCACAAATAGAAGAGCGTCTTCCCTTTCATCTTTCTCTGTGCTTTCAGATGAGGTTTTCAGCTGGGACTGCTGCTATCTGGGCACAGAGTCGGCTGCTTTGTAAAAGTAGTCCCACCACTGTTGTGATAGATCCAGCTGCACTGTGGCGACAAATGGGACAGACCGGATCCCTCCAACCCTACCTCCCGCCCACCCTCTCTCTCAGTTCCCCCCCTCAGAGGCAGGCAGAGAGTGTCAGAGCCTGGTGGGATGTGTGCTCTTTTCAGGGAAACTGAGCCGCTCCGGTCTTCAGGGGTCCTGAAACCCAATCCAGGAGGAGAATAGCCCGGCAATGCCAGAGAGCCGATTTCCTTTTCAACAGAGTCATTTATCACTGACCCACCCTTCGCTTCTGACATGGTGACGTGTGTCATTTATCAAACAGGCTTTACCAGACACAGAGAGAAGGGAGGTGGATAGGGGGCAGAGAGGAGGAGAAAGAGAGAGTGAGAGGGGAAAACAAGACAGACTGAGAGAAACAAAGAGAAGGAGAGGAATAGAGAATGAGGTGCAGACTCAGTGGACAGCGACTGGAGAGTCGAGAAAAGAGACTATCGTTTTGAGTGAGTTTTTCCAGGGAGGAGTGAGTTTTCCTGAAACCCTTGAGGAGACGTGCATGGGAGGGGAGATTTTTTTCGAGATGACAAGGAGGATTGAGTTACACTGAGTGGTGTTTTGATGAGTGACAGAATGTTCTTCCATGACACGTCTCTGGATGTCTGAATAAAGGGGAGAAATATACTTTCTAAGTATACAAATCCAACAAGTGTGTTGGTGTTGTGTACTTATTACTTATGCACGCTGAATATGCGCAGAGGTGCGTGCGCGTGCATATATATGGCCATACGGCGTCAGTCTTTAATGCTGTATGAGAGTGTGTGTGTGTGTGTGTGTGTGTGTGTGTGTGTGTGTGTGCGTGCTGCTCGCTGATGAGCAGGGCTGACAGGTATCACTCACGCAGCAGCCTGGCCTCTATATGAACCCGAGCTGCTCTGCTCTCCCGTGGCCCTAGCAGGCTCCCTCCAAGATGGATGCTTCTTTAAAAATCAGATTAATGATGGATACCAGGCTTATAGTGCCATTTATCATGAAGAATATTATTTAGGCCGGCCATGTATGGCTGTAACTGGAGAGCCCGGACGAGAAGAAGCAGGGTGGAAAGCCTAAGACAGACACTCACTGTGTGATGGATGGCTGAGCGCTTTCTCTGAGTGTTACTAGACACCAGTGCTGCAGCAGGAAGGCCATAATCAGATAGCCCAGGGATGTTTATCCCACAACTACACTACCCAGATTGCCTTGCCTGAAGGGTTGCTTTATGAAAGGTATA